CCAGTGTCTGTACGCAGCAGCAGCGTCGCGGCCTGGATACAAGCGATCACGCACGAGCAGGATCACGTATCTATGTCACATGATGCTCGTGCGCGAACCTCTGTGCGCGAACATCTAGATATCCCCCTTTTCCTCTGTACAGAGGAAAAACAAGAAGCAATTAACACTAGTTACCTAACACCCCTGTGCGATGTTTACACCGTGCAAACCTCTCCGTCTCGTACGCATTTGCTGACACCAAGTGCTAGCTAGCAGAGAGTCTATTCAACACCTTATTTTATTAAAGTTATATGTGTTTTTATTTTAAATACTATACTTAGCTTTAATATTCTTTATAAAGTTAAATAAGTTTTAAATTACTATAAATTTTTTATAAAATACTTTTTTATAGTTATAGTTATACTTAAACTTTACTTTAAGCTTTAAGTAACACTTAATAAACATATTAAGCTAGTTTATGCTAATATAGCCTATATTATACTTAGTGTGTAAAAAATTAACTATATTAGCTATAGCTACTAGCTAGATAGGAAATCCTTACGCACCTAGCTTAAGTATAGGCTAAATAATAACTTGCTTCTTATTATTATCTAGCTTTTATAAGTTAGCTATATAAGTAGCTTAAAAAGTTATTTACTATATTAGTTATTATTAATTTTTAAAAAACTTTGTAAATAGCTATAGTGTGTTAACGTACTTCACAGGCGAGTTGCTCACACACCTAAGTTGCTTACTTTTGCTAAGACCCTACTAAACCACCCTTTCTACACTAATGCATTCCCTATAACACTACTTAGACGCGCTAAAAGAACGTTAGATACAGCTTACACTCTAAGCTTTTAAATAAGACATAAAACTCTTAAAAAAATATGCTATAGCTATGTGCAAAGTTTTATAAAAGATAATAAATAACTATAGCGCTAGATAACCTTTACAAGCTAATTCTACAGCTAAATTATAAAGGCTAAGCAATAAAAAGAAGCAGGTAATTATTAAGACTATACTTAAGCTATATGCGTAAGGAATTTCCCCTTAGATAGCATTTATAGCTAATATAGCTAATTCTTTACGCGCTAAGTGTAATCTAGGCTATATTTGCATAAACTAGCCTAGTACGTTTGTAAAGCGTTATTTAGAGCTTAAAGTAATATTTAAGCGTAAGTACAACTATAAGAGAGCCTTTTATAAGAGTTCTAGAGTAATTTAGGGCAGGTTTAGCCTTATAGAGAATATTAAAGCTAAGTATAGCATTTAGGATAATAACACGTACAACTTTAGCAAGACAGGGTTTATAATTAGCTAAATATCTCTTAACTATACTTATGCTTAAAACTTTACTTTAAGCTTTAAATAACGCTTTATAAATATACTAGGCTAGTTTATGTAAACATAGCCTAGATTACGCTTAGTGCGTAAAGAATTAGCTATATTAGCTATAAATGCTATCTAAGGGGAAATTCCTTGCACATATAGCTTAAGTATAGTCTTAATAATTACCTGCTCCTTTTTATTACCTAGCCTTTATAATTTAGCTGTAGAATTAGCTTATAAAGGTTGTCTAGCACTATAGTTATTTATTGTTTTTTATAAGACCTTACACATAGCTATAGCACATTTCTTTAAAAGTTTTATGTTTTGTTTAAAAGCTTAGAGCGTAAGCTGTATCTAACATTCTTTTAGCATGTTTAAGTAGTGTTATGGGGAATGCATTAGTGTAGGAAGGGTGGTTTAGTAGGGTCTTAGCAAAAGTAAGCAACTTAGGTGTGTGAGTAACTCGCCTGTGAAGTACGTTACTTAAAAAGTGTTATGTTTTATTTAAAAGCCTAAAGTATAAGCTGCATTTAATATTCCTTAAACATGTCTAAGTAGTGTTATTAGGAATGTATTAATGTAGAACAAGTAGAGTAGTGTAGTCTTAGCAAAAGTAAACAACTTAGATGTGTAAGCAACTTGCTTGTGAAGTACGTTAGTCTTAGTTTCCTATAGGAATATCTCTTTGACACAACTGTATCGTTGATGTGGCTGAGTTCCGAGGTGAATCGGCGGAGCGATGGCCAGTCTATGTCTTTGGGTATAAGGCGGAGGAGGTCTTGTTGAGTGATGTGGAAGTCGGATTCGTGCTAGATTAAGTTCTTGCATGAGCTGAGAAGGGGGTCATGGTGGTAAGCGACTCGACAAGGTATTGAGATCCAAACAAAGTGGATTGTACAAGTGGATTGTAAGGTCTAAGGAGCTCGAGAGAGCTCTGGGCTGACTATATACTGTACGAGAAAGGAGCTAGTCCTAATGAGTGAATAGTGCAGTACATGGGTATGGTATCGCGTGAGACACGTGCGACATAAGTTGCGATACGTCCGCAGGAAGCCAGTTGCAGCCTTGCAGAGGTTGCTCTGGCTAAAGGCCCCTCAGTTTGTGCCTTCTTCTAGAAACATTTTCCAGAATGTCTGCGACAGCAAATACCGTGGTAGAGGTTTGGCGAAGATGCGATCGTGGATCCAGACTAGATGCAGTCGTGGTTCTTCCGTGAGGACGATCTCACGACCCTTGACTCGCTGGCGGTGCAAAGGGTTGATGTTCATAATCCAGAGACGAGGTGCCATCGCCTCTAGATCTCCACACACCAGAGTTCCTGCTCAAGAAATTGTTTCATACGAAGGGAGCCGTTCCACGTGACCAAAGGGTAGCCTGGCAAAGTCGCGGTTGGTGCTTGGCTGTAGGCTCGTAGTCGCGAGCTCGGCTTCTTTCGAGAATGGATGTCTGTATAGGCTAAGTCTGCACGTTGAATCGATTATGGAAATAATATATCTTTCGTTGTTGATTGTGTCTGCGCCTGGGGCCTCGCGAGGGACTCGCCTTCAGCTGCCTGCTCAGCCCCAGCCTTGCTGCAGGCCGGCCAAGTCAATAGAGCGCGGGCTGCCTCAGCCTAACATATAACTCATTGATTGCCTGCGCGACTCCTCTCCTCGCTACTGTCTTTCACTCTTACGCATTAACACATCTGGGTTGTATACCGAAAGCAAACTATGGTAGGTACTAGTAGCACGACGAACCCGCACGCCGAGGCTAACGCGGGGCTAGGGCCGGCTGGTAACCGACGACGACATCGGGCTGAAGGTGCTCCGCGAGGCACCAGCAGAGGCAGAAGCTGCCCAGATCATCGAGTGAGTTCAGGTCCAATGTCTGCTTGCTCAGACTCACAGCGAGCCACCTAGCATTGTCGCCGTCCACGGCCTCGGCGCCCATCCCGACGACAGCTGGTGCAAGAATGAGGGCACCAGGGAGAGCCCGCGGTGGGTCAACTGGCTCAAGGAGGAAAGCATGCTGCCAGCAGCGGCGCCAAACGCACGCATTATGCGCTACGGATATCAATCGCAGTGGTTTGGCAAGGAGGCCATGCAGCAGAGCGCGTCCACGGTGGCAGAGCGGTTGCTAGGAGCCTTGAAGCGGAAGAGAAAGGTGCTAACTGTGTCTGAAAGGCGTGGTGAATCCGCTAACTGCGTCAGGATATTTCGTTCCGTCCGCTGCTGTTTGTGGCGCACTGCTTTGGCGGGTTGGTCGTGCTCAAGGCGAGTAGGTCTACTGGACAGCGATGCGCCAGCAGCTGAGCGTCTACCAGGCACTGCTGGAAGCCGAACAGTACCCGAGCGAGTGGCCCGGAGTGTTTCTATCGACAACTGGCCTGGTCTTCTTCGGGACACCGTTCCGAGGCGCGGGAGGGATGAATCAAATTGACATGCTAGAGGCGGCATGGCGCGAATACGATAACGATCAAGTGCAGCCCACCGCTCTCGAGGTGTTGCAGCCGGGAAACGCATACCTGCAAGAGGTGGTTGATGGCTTCCTAAAGAAGATGCGGGGCCAGACGAACAAGACTCAGATCGCATGCTTCTACGAGCTCAAGGCCAGCGACGTAGGGAAGATCGTGGGGGGGCAGAGTCGGACGGCAAGTGTGAACAAGTGTTATATGACCTGCGAGGCTAACTACAGGCACAGAGGTTTGTGGTCAGCGAGAGCTCTGGCTGTCTCGACCTGTCAGACTCGACTGGCAAGTACTCGCTCTCGCGAACCCACTTCAACATGAACAGGTTTGGAAAGGCAACAGAGGAAGATTTTGAGACAGTGGCAGATGTAATTAAGGGCATAGTCAACGAATCTCCTAAGCTTATATGGGGGCGATCTCAATGTAACATCCTAGCAGTAGGCGATAACGAATGGAGGTTAACTTTTGTGGCAGACCACAGCAAGCACAAGATCGACTTCAGCCTTCAAGGCATGCCGATTGTGGGCAAATTCATCCAACGCGATGCAGAAATGCAGGAGCTCGAGAAGCTTCTTATTAGTAACATAACCACAACTAGTCGACAGAAGGTCGTCGTTCTTCACGGCCTCGGCGGCATAGGCAAGACGCAACTCGCAGCTGAGTTCGCGCGGAACCACTATCACGTTTTTAGCAGCGTCTTCTGGCTAGATGGGGAGTCGGAGGCTAGCTTAAAACAGTCGTTTACGAGCATGATGCAGAGACTGCCGCAGGACGAGCTGACGGCGGATAGTGTAGAGATGCTTAAGCGCACTACAATCGACACCGCTGTGGCGGTGCACGAGTGTCTCCGGTGGCTGTCTCTCGCGACGAATCAGCATTGGCTACTGATCTTCGATAACGTCGACCGCGACTACTATGACAAAGATGACGTGCAAGCGTACAATGTGAAAATGTACTTCCCTAGTACAGACTATGGATCGATTCTCATCACTAGCCGGCGGGCGAGTCTCCAGAGGCTCGGAACAGGGCTCAAGGTAGGGACGGTCGAGATGGAGCAGGCAAGGGCCATTCTAGAGAGTAATGCCGGAAGTGTGATTAAGGGTAAGGTTGACAATCTTCTATCTATTACTAAAGAACAGCAGGGCTGATTTTTACTTAATAGATGCAGATGTGGTTCTTGAACGACTGAGTGGGCTTCCTCTAGCGCTGACCCAAGCTGGCTCGTACATGCAGGAGACGAACATGTCCGCTCTAACCTACGCTAAGCATTACGACAAGACCTGGGAGGGCCTAATGCAGAAACAGGGAAGATTTCCACTAGAGGAGTACGGCGACCGCAACGTGTTAACGACTTGGACTATATCCTATGAACAGGTTAAGAAGCAAAGCGAGGAAGCAGCCTGGCTGCTTAAACTGTGGGGATACCTGGACCATGGCGAGCTCTGGTACGGCCTGGTCGCAAATGCAACAAGACTGCCTGAAGGAATAAATACTCCTGTATGGCTACTAAGTATTGCGGAAGACGAGCTGGAGTATGCTGATGCAGTTCGCATTCTATCGCGCTACTCACTTGTGGATAGAAGAGAAGATACTAACACTCATTCAATGCACTCGGTACTGCATCAATGGTGTGGGCAGCTGGCAGAAGGCAAGGAGCAGCAGCGGGCCCTTGGCCGGATAGCGGTAGAAATAGTGGCGTCACATGTACCATCGGAAGACGAGCAGGATTTCTACAGAAAGCGGAAGCGACTGTTACAGCATGCTATAGGCGTTAGTAGGTGGCTAATAAAGACAAACCTTGTCGAAGAAGAAGAGACAGGCGTAGGCATGATACAAGGGCCGACATATTACAATCTAGGCTATCTTCTTGCAGAAGAAGACCGACAAAAAGCAGAGAAGATGTACCAGCGAGCGCTGCAGGGCTACGAGAAGGCATGGGGACCAGAGCACACATCAACACTC